GCGGCCAGAGGACAGTCCTGGGCGCGAGCCTATCTGCTCATCCGGCCCCTGGCATGGCACTGCAAAATTTCCTGGACGTCCGGGCTGGGCTTATGCTTTCAGGCTGCCCTGTCTGGTACACCGTATCTAGGTCACCCTGAGGGACTTCCTGGTCACCAGGATATGTTTCGCGGTATCTCCGTTGAGACGGTGGTCGAGAAATTCAGGGAGGCGAAGGCGCGCTCAGCGGCCTTCAAATCCTTAATTCCACGAAGGTCCAGGTCTGAGCCTGAACAACCCAGGGGTCCTGGCCCGTCTCGGTTTGAGAATCAGAGACGGGCACAGAAGGCTAGTGTCGCGGCTAGTGCTCCTCCCTCGCCTGCGGGAAGGGGTAGGAGGAATCGCGGGTCAAAGAGTCAAAGTTTTGGTTGGTTCTATGGCTTCATAGTGATTACCTTACTGATGGTCCAGACTAGAGGCTTCTTCGGGTTGCTTCTTGAACGGGGCTCTGGCACGGGAACCATGGTGGGTGAGTACGATCCATTTCTCCACATGGTGGTAAGTGTGCACGCTGAACACTTTGCGCACTTTCTAAAATCCACATAGTGGTAAGTGGGCACGCTGAGCACTTTGCGCACTTTCTAAAATCCACATAGTGGTAAGTGGGCACGCTGAGCACTTTGCGCACTTTCTAAAATCCACATAGTGGTAAGTGGGCACGCTGAGCACTTTGCGCACTTTCTAAAATCCACATAGTGGTAAGTGTGCACGTTATACTTTGCGCACTTTTCTGAAATCCTGTAAGGTAAGGGTTATGCGTTATTAGCCTTGTTCCCTTTCTCTGAGTTGGTTTAGACCCCGGTACCTTGGGCTTGCCTATGAGCCTCAAAGGGTTGCCTATGAGCACGCTACTCCTTTCTGAATTCAGAGTTCTCCTCTCACGTGAGAGTTGAGTTCTCTGTTTTCCCAGAGCACCTGGAGCTAGCAGCATCAGGTGAACTAGGCCCTTCCTCCGCCTCTCTGATGCGCTGAGTTTTTTGGCTAGCTTGCAGTAAGCTTACCCTTCTGATTTCTAACAATCGTGCTGTAGGTTGAGCCCCCTCTCGTTGAGAGCTGGGTGTTGTGCTACCTCAGCTAAGTAAATTACTGCTAGTCGTTCCAGCATTGGAACATGCTGTAGGTCGAGCCCCCTTCTCGATTAAGAACTGGGTGTGTTGCTCCCTCAGCTAAGTAACTGCTAGCTGTTCCAGTATTGGAACAGCAACTGTCTGTTGAGACAGTAAATGCATATGCAGCATATGCAGAGCATGCGGTAGCCCCTGTGTGACAGGCCAATACTTAGTATGATTCTAGGCTCTTGGTCGTATTCCCTTAAAGGAATCTATTCCTGATTCCAAGCCTTGAGCTATACCCCGGGCCCAGGAGTTCTGGCCCTAACAGGTCAGTTTTTGGGGTATGTAGCCTAGGCCTTTGGCTGTAGGGGATAATGTCACTGACAGCCGTCTTAACGTCTCAGGGGCAAATCCCATGGCTATGGTAGAGTTGCTACTTAGTGCTCGCCAAAGTTTTCTGGCATGCACTCCCCTCAGCATGGTGGCGTGGGTATACCGTTCCCCATAGCGACCCCTAGAGGACACAGTTCGAAGTTCCCTTGAAAGGGAACGTCTCAGGTTATGTATGTAACCATGGTTCCCTGAGTAGGGAACGAGACACTGCAACCTCTAGGTTTCCTGCCATGCTTCAGATGCAAGCTTCAGACGAAGTGGATGATGTGTTCTCCCGGCGCCTATTCATGGCTGTCGCTAGCCAATGTGTTGTTGGTGTTTTTTCAATGTATGCTTCAGACACGGGTCACAGCTAGGCGTTCCCCATAGCGACCCCTAGAGGACACAGTTCGAAGTTCCCTTGAAAGGGAACGTCTCAGGTTATGTATGTAACCTGGAACGTTTTCATGACGTTAAACTTGGAATGATGTCATTTTTGAATCGGAATTTTAGAACTTTGATGGAACATTTCAATGATTTTTTTTAACCTTGTTTCAACATCATTCTGATGGTACACTGACTTTTAATAAGACAAATGACTTCTATTTCTTTCCAGCGCTCTAAATAAAAAAAAGTGCAAAACCTGTCATTGGGGTGGTACCTTTTCAAAAGGTTCACATTTGTACCTCTATGGTATTAATATGTACACTTTAGGTACTAATATGTACTTTAAAGGTACCAACATGGATACTTTAGGTACAAAGGTGTACCTTTTGAAAAGATACTGCCCCAGTGACAGCTTTTTGTACCTTTTTTTTCCTGAGAGTGTGGGAGTATGTATGTTTGTGGGAGTATATGCACATGTTTAGTGAAGATGCCGCAAAAATACTAATCGTCAACACCAACATCAAACACTGGTTTTGTATTTATCTGTTTTTAGAGTTTACACTAAAAAAAGCTGTTCTATAAGAGAAGTCATAGACAATTTGCAACAGGAAAGATTAATTTTACAGTACTTTTTATTAATTTCAATGGTATCTGCAAACAATGATTGATTGTCGCACAACTCTTACAGACATTTAATGATGTCAAGGCCGTGATGTGATTGTTTATCAAGGCACACGTCATCCAAGCTCATCACTACACTTTCACCGATGGAAGATTAGCAAATCTTGGTATCTATAACTGTTGGGGGCTCCAAAGTAACAAAAAAGGTTGTTTGCTTTAATGGTATTTTTTGACAGCTGACATCATTAAGAACTGTAGTGTTGTGCAAACGATTTTCTTAGGTGTTGCTTTTTGTTTTGTTTGTCATTGAAAGAAAGTCAAACAGGTTTGGTACAACAGTAAATAATAGTAAATAATGAAATGATTATCATTTGGGTGAACTATTCTTTTAAAGGTGCAGTATATGATAATGACAGCTTGCGTTGGGAAGAATCCATGCACATGTGCAACATTTTTTTATTTATTTATAATTTATTGGGGCAATGAGCAAGCAATCCTCTCAAACCAAAGACTTTAGAGGTTAGCTTGAGGAGATCATCTTGAAGCCTTGGAGAAAAGTGAATTCCCAGACAACAAATTCAAGGCATTTTATTAGCGTAGACAGTGTTAATTTGAGCAAACACCACCTCCGGATGTCCTAAGGCCCTCTAAGAGAGTGGTGCATTCCATACAGTGCGGTTGACTTGGGAAACAAGAGCTGAACAACGTGTTTAAACAATCCACAGTACGATTTCTCAAGTTCTCACGATGTAAACACGGTTAAGAAGAGTTTATTTAAGGATAGAGTGGCAATTCTGGATATATTGCAAGAATATGAAGCAATACAGCTATCGACCAAGAGAAACCCAAAGGCTCTTCCAGTATTTGGAAATCCTAGTGACTTTTTGATACTTGAAATCATTAAAGGCGCAGCATACAATTTTTGTAATATCACACATAAAATTAGCATGTCACTGAAATGTATGCTTTGAGCTATGTCTGGACTCTAAACCACAACAAAAAACAGGTATTAGCCAATCAAGTGCTCAGGTTTGTTGGTGCACGTTTTTAGATGTTGTAGTTTTATAAAAGGCAAGTGTGGGTGGTCTAATTTCACAGGTAATGCTGTAATCCAGACAAGTTGGAAGTGGGAACACTCAAGCTGAAATTTCCCATTTCCAATCTTCCAAAGCATTCCAAAGCACTACAAACATTCAGAACTTAGAATTCCCCCACCTTCATTTGAAAATAACCAATGGAACGTCACATTACTACTCACAGTGTTAGAAACTAGATCAAGTTTTGCTTCTCATTGACTGGCTGATCAATCTCCCCCCACTACACAAGTCAACAATTTTCAAGTAGAAGAAGGGAAATTTTCAAACACATTAGAAAAATGACTAAATGGTTCCAGGTAGAGTTTGTTTGCTCTCCTCTACTTGAAAACATATGACTAAAACTATACAAAGGATTAGCATTAGCAAGTTGCATTAAATAGTTACAGCTTCACTTGCATGATTTGGGCCAATCACCAAACAAGTCGCAATTTATTATTGGCTGCCACACCAATCAAAAACCATCAAAACACAAAAGTACAATTACAGTACCCTTATGAAAAATAACTTTATTCAAGTGTGCTATTAGTATACTTCTTTTAAACTAAAAAATAGGAAAGTATACTTTTAGTTTACTTTTTATGTACTTCTCAGAAATGGGCTTTATGTACTTCTCAGAAATATACTTAAAATTACATTTAAGTATACTTGGCTTATACTTAGAAAAAGCCTAAATATATTTGAGCTTTACTTGTGCTCCTAGAATCAGTGTTTTCATTGTTATACTGTAGTAGGCCTGGACAATAATTCAATATCAATATGTATCGCGATATAATTTTTTTCAATAATAAACCCATTTCCAGCAACATGATTTTGTTGTTGCTATATTTTTTTTTTTTCTGAAGCAACTTGGAGCATCTTTACTAGTACGATCATCAGACATAAAACAGCATCAAAACTGTGTAACGTTATAGAATAAAATGTTGACAAATGAAGAGGTAATAATGACTGTCAAGCTTTGGGGTGTTGAGCGACTCTATCTACGTTTTGATTATCATTCTGAATCCAATTCATAGTCTTTTTATCAGCTTTTTGTTCAAAATGTTATTTCTTTATTTTTTTATATATGAAACTTACGCACATTCAAGTGTTTAAAAAAATAATGCATGAAGCTAGAATTAATTTTATACTACTAGTACACTGATATTTGTATACTTACTACATAAAGTATACTTAAAAATATACTTGAACTTTACTTAAGTATACTTAATAAAATAAACTTGAAGTATACTACTTTTTGGTAAGGGTAGTCAATGTCAATAGTAATAATTTTACATATTGTTGAATCTAGGCATGGGCCGATTACCGGTTTCAAGGTATACCGCGATTTGAAAACTTCACGGTTTCAAAACCACTAATATTTTCCGTTATACCGTTCCTGCGGTATGCGCTGTTTTTCATGTCTCCTCAAAGACTGAAAGTGTAGGAATCCCTCATGTTGAGTGCAGCGTAGAGAGTAACACGACCCTCCTCCTGTTGGTGCGAGCAAGCAGTCAGTCGTGTGTAGGATGGCCGAACTAAGGAGCTTCCCCTGGAACTTACGCGATCGGCGATCGGCAAACGGCCGTTTTTTGTCTTATTGCAACTCGTTGTGACTTACACAAACTGCGCTGCAATGCAATAATATTCCAAAATGTCATTTATGTGAAAATAAGTCTGTAAACGCCCGTTAACACAGGCCAGAGATGCTGAAGACGGACGCACGGATAAAAATACTGTAGCAGGCAGATCACTCACTGTTCATGATGCACAAACTATTGGAAGAAAATCCTCGATATTGATTTGGGGGTTTATATGAATGTGTTTCTGAGGGGAATTGACTGTCTTCAGAAAAGTTTATGTGGTATTTCCTTTCAATCTCGTCTCTGTATAGTTCATATTAAAGCAAGGAAACACTGTATCTGGTGTTCCAGAAGCGCCTCCTGCTGTCAGAGAGGGAATCTGCGTCTCATTCAGAGCTTCTGCTGTTTGCTTCATTCAGGCATTTAGTATAATTTCACAAAGCTAGTCAGAACAGAACATTCTGTTTTTGCTTCAAATTGGGTTATTATTCAATCAAATTATGTATATAAAATTATAAAACTAAATGGTATGACATGATATAAATTATATGTATATGAATTATATAACTAAAACTAAATAACCGTAACTACAGATTTAGGCTAAATAAAGATGTCAGTCTTTATTTTTCTTCTTTTTAGGAAACAAATCAAAGAAAAAATAAACAAATTCTACTGTTCCTAATATTCTGCATGTTGCTCAAAAACAAAATATTTTGTGTTCACCGGAAAAATGTTTTTCTTTTTTTTACCCAGTCATTTAAAAATAACAAATTTTAGAGCTGTAACGACAATACCGTGATACAGTGAAACCGTGATATTTTTGCTTAAGGTCATCATACCGTCAAAATCTCATAACGGTCCATGCCTAGTTGAATCTATGTAGTTTATAGTATTATTAATACATTTCAATGTTTAATTAAGTGAACAGTTTTTTCCTAATTTATTGTAAAACATGAGTCCTGAAGTACAATCAGCTGAGATCCATTTGTTTAAAAGCACACACAATCATTTTTAACCATCCTGAGTTATCTTGTTCCATTACTATCTACACTGAGTTAAGTAATCCTGCAGATTTCCTATACATTTTTGTAAACCCTTGAGAAACCTTTTCATTTGCCATTAGGGTTAATTGGGCAACAGCAGACAACCTGTATTGATATCAGCAGTCCGCTTAGTCCGGTTAGTCTTAGCATTGGAGCCACGAAATTGTACAAATAATCGTCTCTTCATCACTCGAATGAACTCTTACTGTTTGACATTTTGCTCAATCGCCTCGCTGAAACTAAAAACATGCGCGTGAAAGTTGCTTCTCATGAATATTTAATTAGCCAAGCGCTAAAACAGTTAATGATTAGTTGACTGTTGCTAAACAACTCACCTTATAATTCTAGCGCCGAGTTGTACATTTTGGCACGACGATTTTTCGCTGCCTACCAGTTTTTAAAAAATACACCTGCGAACCGCTGCGTGCGAAGTATGAAAGCCCTGAGCAGAGCATTTTAGTGCGTAAACATTTGCGTAATTTATGCATAACCTAACGTTAACTTGTTAGTTTTTGATAATGGTCTCATACCAGTGACGCTGTATTCTCTTGGACATGTAACGGACAGATGCGTTTCCCATCATTTATATAGTAACCAGGAAAATAAATTAGAAACACAAAAATGTGCTTACCTGACCCAAATTAGTAAAGCCATATTTGGAAGCGAGTTTCTCAGCTTCCACTGGTCCTTCAGGGATCCGAACAGCCCAGTGATTTGTGTACACGCGAGAAAGCGACGCTTCCCAAAGCCAAAAAGTTGACAAAACAAAACCAACCAACAACCGCATATTGCTCGTCGATAGTCCAGCCGGTTAACTTTGCGGTAAATGATTCACGCAGGAGCGATCGCCTCCAAACTAATCAAAACACGAGCCTGTGGATGGGCATCAAACCTTCAGTCCTGGCAAAACATCCCTGAGTTACTCCCGTATTATTCTCTCCCATTCACCGCGCTGCATCCCTTCATTTGGGAGCTCTAGTTCAGAAAACCTGAGATATGTGTCCCGTTTCTCGACAGATGGCACGCCAGCCGATATAAGTGTTGTCATGTAAGCCTGGCAGAACGGAACGAGTGCGCGCTACTATTGAGGTTAGCAGCACGAGCTTATGGTGTTTGCGCGCTGCACTTGGCAAAGTGTTTCACATACTCGCCAATAAAGGCGTTTTTATCCAGACAAGTGGCGTGCAAGTAACTGTATGAGGCATGCATATCGTTTCCTTGGAGCTGATCTGCAGATTCACACCTCAAAGGTAATTCTCATAATGACTGAATAGAAGTGTACAAGTATATTTCTAACTGTTTAGGGATGAGTCATGACACCTTTCAAGACCGTGCTCAACCCAAATTGTAAAAAAAAACAGAATTAAAATAATCTTAATTTTACAGCCATCATGGCTTCTTGAGGCATGCATATCGTTTCCTTGGAGCTGATCTGCAGATTCACACCTCAAAGGTAATTCTCATAATGACTTAATAGAAGTGTACAAGTATATTTCTAACTGTTTAGGGATGAGTCATGACACCTTTCAAGACCGTGCTCAACCCAAATTGTAAAAAAAAAAACAGAATTATAATAATCTTAATTTTACAGCCATCATGGCTTCTCCCTTTATAGATAGATAGATAGATAGATAGATAGATATGCATAAAATATGACCTGGACATGTGAGAACTGTATCCAACAGCCCCAAAATTTAAATGCATTAGATAACAAAGTGTGATTTTTAACTTTTTATTAGCATCTCAAAATTGAAATAAATAAAAAATGATATGAAAATGATAATTGCATTTAGTCACTGTAATTACGCTGAGAGTGTTTGGAACGACAGGAGCAATGCTCTGAATCTGGTGTTTCAAGAGCTCAATTGATATTGTCCTGTTGTCAATATTCAGATCTGATGAAAATAGAGCACATTGATCCAAAAGACCACATTAAAAATCTGAGATTTTTTCCCATAAAGTCCTGAAAATAAAAGTTTTGTTGTCAGCTTGAATGCTGCTATAATGAAATCAAAAGAAGATCCAAATACTAAAGTTATTTTAAGTCGCCCTCAGGCCATCCAAGATGTAGATGAGTTTGTTTCTTCATGGGAACAGATTAGGAAAACAATGGATGCTCTGCAGTGAATGGGTGCCGTCAGAATGAGAGTCCAAACAGCTGATAAAAACATCACAATAATCCACAAGTAGTCCACACCACTCTAGTCCATCAGTTAATGTCTTGTGAAGTAAAAAGATCCATTTTTGTAAAAACAAAAAACAAATCCAATGGATTTTTTGATTCACAAGACACTCTCATTCTGATGGCACCCATTCACTGCAGAGGATCCGTGATTGCCTGGAGGTGATTTCTCTGCAAATGTTCATTTTTGGGGTGAACTATTCCTTTATTTAAATTAGAAAATGCAAAACTGAAGCATTTTCATTGGTGTTCTCAGACTTTAGATCCCACTGTAAATGATTTGCATGATGGCTGCAGTTGTAATGCATGCAAAAGATTCATCTGTTCTGTTATGTCCTTCTTTGTTTTCTCGGTTTTATTAACTCAAGCTGAATAACAGCACTGATACAAAGTGAATTCTAAGCCAAGTTCTGTTTCAATGGTGATATAATTCTCTTTTTCTACTTCTATCCGTGCCATCTGTGCCTTCCCTGCGGAGTTAGAAAAAAAGGGCCAGACGCACTCCGTTTTCCAATTGTAAACGATCAGGATATCTCTGTTAATGAGAAACAACACCAATAATCTAAATTTGGACGCCAAATGCCAGATTCAGTGTTAACACAGCTCAATTTTACAAAACATACTGTACAACCATAAAGATATCCAAAAGAGCCAACTGTTATGTCTTCTTCTAGGTCCTTCGATGTAAGTCTAAGGGATTTTTTTTTTTGCCTATTTTATTATACATCAAGCAAAAATAATAGATCTGACTGCTTGGAAAAGGAATAACACACCTTTCCTCAACAAGCTGCAAGATTTGAAGTGGCACAAACAATGCATGATGAGTTACACGCTTAAGGTATAGTAGGCTAATAGTGATGCTTGCCTCAGAAAACATCACTAATAAAACAACAGATGACCTGAAATGAGATTCTGTTAAGCAGCAGGAGCCCATTTTGAAAGAATGTAAGCTCTATAGCGCTCGGCTGTATATAGCTATTCATAGCTCTCGTTAAACCTCATAACCTCAGAAGACGTTTATAGGATAACAGCGGGGCGCAATCCTCCTTGAAATATTGTTGAGCATGATCTGCGCTGAAAGCTGTGCTTTAAAGGAAAACATTTCACAGTTTGGATTTATTTCATGGGTATTATGCACGCCCGATCAGCCTCGCTCTTCGTTTGGCCTCCCTGAAAATAGAAACGCAAGTTTCTCGTGAAAACGGCGTCGTGTCGCGAGTCTGAGGTATTCAGGCGTGACGGAGTCGAGCTCATTTGATTCTTCAAGCCGATCGTTCGGCAGAGAGTGAAATATCGCCGTGGCTTTTAGCGCTGGCACTGAGCAAGCTTTTACTTGATCATCCTGAGCAATGAAGGGGGGATTGAGCATTATGTCATTTGAAGGTGCTGTCGTGTTCATTCTTAAAGTTAAGAGTTAAGAGTGAAAAGTTCATTTACAGTTATTCATTCAGCAGACACTTTAATCCAGAGTGATTTAAAAATGAGGAAAACATAAGCGAAACATCCTAATCGTAACATGAGAAATGCTGCAATAGGCTGTGCATGTTTATTATAGAGTTTCGTTGTAATTTATGACTTAACCCACCATTTTGTGTAGAGTTTTTTTAACTAAGATTTTGTGGTGCATTATGGGATTGTCTTGCTTGCAATTGGATGCCAAATGATGCGTCTTAGAAGGCAGCATAATCTTATTGTCTACCTTTTGGAAAAAAGTTTGCATTGGAAGCAGATACCTTAAAATGCTAATATGCAAGGAATAGTTCACCCAAAAGTTACCCACCCTCAAGCCATCCAAGATGTAGATACGTTTGTTTCTTCATCAGAACAGATTTGGAGAAATTTAGCATTACATCGCTTGCTCACCAATAAATCCTCTGCAGTGAATGGGTGCCGTCAGAATGAGCGTCCAAACAGCTGATAAAAACATCACAATAACACCAATTACTGTCTTGTGAAGTGAAAAGCTGCATATTTTAGCTTTCGGCTAAAATACGAGTCCTCTATCCATAATATTGATTTCTCCAGTGAAAAAGTAATCTCATCTGAATCAGGAGAGAAATATGCACAGATCAAGCACCATTTACAAGTGAAAATCGTCTAAAACAGTTCTAAACAAATATGTGGGAAGATTTTGATGTGAGGGGACAACAGGGGATGAACTTTTTCCACAGCGTTATTATGGACTTGTGTTTTAACCGGAAACCACAGGGTAAAGTTGAAGTGTTTTAATGATGGATTTGTTTATTACAAACGCGTAGCTTTTCTCTTTGCACGATGTTAACTGATGGACTGGAGTGGTGTGGATTATTGTGATGTTTTTATCAGCTGTTTGGACTCTCATTCTGACGGCACCCATTCACTGCAGAGCATCCATTGCTGAGCAAGTGATGTAACGCTAAACATCTCCAAATCTGTTGATGAAGAAAGAAACTCATCTACATCTTGGATGGTCTGAGGGTGTGTACATTTTCAGCAAATTGTAATTTTTGGGTGAACTATTCCTTTGAGTCAAGACAGCTGTAAAATATAACCAGAATAACTTATATAGACACCTTATGTAGGGTGGAAAGGCAAGCTTTAGGATTTCGCCGTTTTTCTAACCTTGCACTCGAGGTCCATATTGTACATGCTGCAATTTAAACGCAAGCACATATTTATCCTGTATCATTTTCCTCCAAAATCACTCTAAACTCCATATGGGGTGGTTGCATAATGTTTTTTTTTGCTGCCCATGAGCAGATTTTGGCAGGTACAGTTGGCTTGTGTGTCGCTCCAGAGATCTTGGCCAGCTGAATTTCTCATGATTTCTTCAGTGCTGGCAGGTATGTTAGTGTTAGAGGTTAACAGGTGGATATGTCAATCTGTCACAAACCTGTTTATCATAGTGCTCTTTGCACAGTTGGACATTTTTCTGCATAAAGCTTCTTCTGTATGTGGTCATCACAGCTTTGCATGGCTACTTTTTATTTTGGCATTATAAGATAAAAAATTTGATCCAATATAGTATGCTGGATTTCTCTGTGGTTTGATTAAATAGAGACCTGTGTTATGTTGTATCTAACAGCATCTCACATCTGTTGTACATCTTGATGAAAAATTCAGAAACTTGAGATGTCTTGATGCCAAAGTGTACTTTCAGAAGGTCACAGGAGAAACCGCTCAACTAAAAAGTACAATCAGTGATTCTCTCCCACTGAACAGGGGTGCATTTCTTTAAAAGCAACAATGGTCGCGAGTTCTGTCGTTACCAATAGAGTTCAATGGAACTTACGACCATAGTTGGCTAACGATGCTTTTGGGAAATACACCCCAGGATAGTAAATGGACCAAGCTAGTAAATGGAGCTTTTAAAAGCAAAATTAATTAACTTTCAAGGGAGTGAAAGAAATGTATCTCATATTATTAAAACATAAATAACAGACACCGTAGAAAATATTATATAATATATAATATGCATCTAAAAAATATTAAAGGAAAAATATTGTTTAAAAATATACTTTTATATATTATATTATTATATAACCTCTATCTGTCTACATTCATATCAAATATAAATTTTACTTACACAAATAGAATTTATTCTATATAAATTATTATATATATATATATATGATATATTATTGGAATAAGTCTGATTACACATTTGTCTTCATTCTATTGCAATAGAAATGTTTCTGATACAGAATTGTATCTTTTTTTCAGGAAACCAGGCTGTAATTATATGAGAATGCTGCCACCTACAGTTTGAAAGTATTAATGAAATTCACTAAAGTAAAAAACAAGTGATTAACGTGTAATATACGTTTATATACATTCTTGTGCTTATTACAGCGGTGTGTGTGTGTGTGTGAGAGAGAGAATTATAATTAAATAATTATATTTTGCACGTAATTTTATTAGCATTTCAGGCAAACGTCCCAAATGAGTCAATGTCATCAAATGAAGTCAGTCCAGCAATCTCACAGACATCTGTTTACATCCACAGA